GTGCCTTTTTCCAGGCTAAGGAGTCTCAACTGTTCTAGCCTTTTCTTGATAGGGAAACGGTCAAGCTGACAGGCTATTTTGATTGAATTCTTCTGTACTTTTTTCAGCTGTATTTTATCCTTTTATAAATGTGGTGACCAGACCAGTACACATTATCCAGGTCTGGGTGTACCATAAACAATGTTGACTGCTTTCTTTTCAATCCCTTTTCTAATAATAAAGCATAGCATATGGAAAGAAAGAAACAAGATCTACATCCATGGCTTCATTTTTATATATATGTGTGTATGTGTATGTGTATGATTTATATATAAAAGCATATATTATATGAAAGCAAGCAAGCAAGCAAAGGAGAAAAAAGAAACTAAAAGAAACAAGAATCAGTAAAAAAAAGCTACTGCCAATCTTTTCAACAGTTATAAACAGCAGGTCAAGAACATGAAGAGCTGGCAGCACCTGGCCTGGACATGATCCACACCTACTGGCTAAAGAAACTAACAGCAGTGCATGAACACCTAGCAGCACACACGAACCAGCTGCTAGCAGCAGGCTCCCACCCAGACTGGCCAACACAAGGAAGGACAGTGCTGATCATGAAAGACCCCCACAAGGGAACAGCCCTGTCCAATTACCAGCCAATAACCTACCTGTACACAACACGGAAAGTCCTATCTGGCATCATAGTCGCCAAGCCATAGTACCATATGGGTCAGTATATGAGCACAGCTCAGAAGGGCATTGGGAACAACACCAGAGGCTCAAAACACCAGTTGCCCATAGAGTAGTTGCCTGAGACTCAAGATCTAGACAGACCAATCCCAGCACAGCCTGGATTGATTACAAGAAAGCCCATGGCTCAGTGCCACACACATGGATCTTTGAGTGCCTGGTGCTATACAAAGTCAACAGGACACTAAGGACCTTCCTCAAGAATTCCTTGGGACTGTGGCAGACAACACTGGAAGTCAACTCAAAACAGCTCACACAAGTGGCCATCAAGTGTGGAGTTTTCCACCCCACGTCCAACACCCAGAGACTGTAAACCAGCTAGAAAGAGGGTGAGCGGGGTCTGGTGAGTGCCAAAGCCACTGTCCTGAATGAAACCCAGAGCATCCAGGAGTACATCAGTAAGATGGACCCAAAGATGAGCTGCTGAGAGAAGGCCTGAGCCAGCAGCAGACATCGGAGGAAGTTCAAGCAGAGGAAGTGCCATGGCAAGACAAGACCTGCATGGAATGTACCATCAACAGACACCTGAGGTGGCTGACACTGGGAAATCCTACCAGTGGCTGGAAAGGGCTGGACTAAAAGTCAGAATCAGGCCACTGATCACAGCAGCACAAGAACAGGCACTAAGCCCCAGATCCATGGAAGCAGGGGTCTACCACATTAGACAGAACCCAAAGTGCAGACTGTGCAGAGGCCTCAGAGACAGTCCAACACATAGTGGCAGGTGTAAGATGCAGGCTAGAACAGCATATACTGAATAGCTCAGCCAAGTAGCTGGCATTGTGTACAGGAACACTTGCACAGAGTATGGGCTAGACCCTCCCAAGTCCAGATGGAAGATTCCACAGAAGGCTGTGGAGAATAACAGGCCTAAGGTCCTGTGGGACTTCCAGATCCAGATGGACAGGCAGGTACTGGCCAATCAACCAGACATTGTGGTAGTAGACAAGGACCAGAAAACAGCAGTGCCAAGTGACAGCAACATCAGGAAGAAGGAGTATGAGGAGCTGAAGAAGTACCAGGGCCTGAAGGAGGAACTAGAGAGGATGTGGAAAGCAGAGGCCAAAGCAGTCCCAGTGGTTGTAGGAGCACTCGGGGCTGTGATTCCTAAGTTGGGAGAGTGGCTCCAACAGATCCCAGGTACAACATCAGAGCTCTCCATCCAGAAGAGTGCAGTGCTAGGAACAGCTAAGATACTGCGCAGAACCCTCAAAATCCCAGGCCTCTGATAGAGGACCTGAGATTGAGGAAGACACATACCACCCATAGGGGTGAGAGGGGATTTTTTTATATATATAATTTTTATTAAGAATGTTTATATAAGTAAAATACAAATATGAAGGAAAAATATGAAAGAAAGAAAAATGCAGGCAGGCAGGCAGCCAGGAAGCAAGGAAGGAAAGAAGGCAAAACAGAAGAAGAAAGAAAGTTAAAGAAGCAAGAATCAGTAAAAATAAGCGACTTCCAATCTTCTTTTCAACATGTTGTAAACAAACCCATTATTCCTGTTCCCTCTTGGTATTACAAAGATTCCTTCAGCCCCTTATTTAGTCCTTTTTCAATCATCAGATCCGCAAATCACCACTTCACTGTTTTCCATTTTCAGTAAAAAGTTTCCACTCTTTAATAAAAGTATTTATTGTTTCATCCCTGACAAAGCAAGCCAGCTTTGGCGTTTCTGTCAATTCTGACATCTTCACAATATATTCCTCTATTGTGGGAGTTTCAGAATTCCTCCATCACTGTGCATATAATTTCCCTGACTTCTTTTTGAAGCACAATCACAGCTTCCAATCATACTTTCTTGTTGGAACCTTGAATACATTGCCTGAGGATCCCAAGATGATAGTTTCATTCATGGAATTAAGAATTGCAAAGTTGACAGGGACCCCCTGGGGCATCTTCTCCAACTGCATCATCACAGGTGCAAAAAGCATATTCCACTTTGGATGTGGTGAAAAATAAAGTCAGAGGTCACAAAATCAATGGTACTTAATGTACTGTTGTTTAACTGCAGTTCAAGTAGCCCTGAACTTTAAGCAAAACTGCCAAAGAATCCAGGTTATAAGTGAACAAATGATTTAAAAAGTGTAATGTTAAATTTCCTGTAAATATGTAATATATTTATTTTCTGCTACAGGTCTCTTTACTGGAGGAAAAACTTACAAAATACTGTAAACTAAATTATAAAGTTAAAATATCTCCTGGACAAGTTCATGGCTTTGCTCAGTGTAAGCCTGAGGACATGAAGCCTGAAGATATGCCATACATAGAAGAAGAAAGAATGGATTTAATACACTGGCTGAATAGATACATTATGTTTTGAAGCAACATATTCCATTTTATTCCCCTAACCTCAACAACAAAATGCCCTTTCTTTGTTTCAAAACACTTACTGTAAAGATCGTGGGGTTACCTATTAGGCTCTGAAGAAGGGAAAATGCATTTGAAAGATATGACAATATTAAACATTGAATATTTGTCATTAATAGTTAGAGGTCAGGCTCAGGCAACAAGCGAGTCAGTAAATTCCTGTTGCAACCAATGGATCAACATTTGGTTCGTCCGAAAAAGCAGATCCTGCACTTGCAGAAAAACATTGGCAGGAAAAACATATCATTAATACATTAATTGTATTACTCCATTATTCCTCCTGAAAATTATACATACCTGATGATCTCTCAATTCTTCTTGGCTTTCCTACATTATATACCACATCATCTTTCTGTAAATATATTGAATGTTCAGCATTTCAACATTAATGATACATTTAGTTTTGGACATTAGTTCTATTACTACTATAACATCTGGGCTGCAAACATCCGTTAGCTTCCTGTGTCTCTTTGCTTGTGTTTGTCCAGATTTCTGCAGCTCAAATCTGGTAGTTCTAGTTCTATTTTCCTCTTTAAAATTGTAGACATCACCTTGAAGACCCATGCTTTGCCCCAAAAATCATGCCTAAGTCCAGTTTTGGTGTCACTGATCATGGGAAAGATAATTATTTATCCTTGATCCAAAATAATAGCAATGCATTCAAAGTTGGAGTCTGTCTCAAATTAAATTTTGTCTAATTCCAAGGCAACATCAATAATACAATCCGAGAGTTTTGAAATTTAATTACTTTCTCACACTGATTTTGAGAAAGTATTTTCTCACTGCCGGGCAGATGGAAGCATATGCTGCTGCGAATGGTGAAAGATCATGAAACGTATGATACCAGCAGACACAGGTGAG